TCAAAAGTCTCTTAGTGATCCTGTTGAACAAGAAACGTTCCTCGGCTACAGAGGCTCGCATTTACCAATTTCATTGCTGCACCTCACCATAAATTGTCCCAGACGTCTCGGAATTCACAATCATGGAATATTTGTGAATGATTAACCGGGCTGTTGATAGGAAAAAAGTGAAGTTCTTGTCAGTTCGCCTCAGCTACCATGGAAACAAAATTAGAAAAGCCTTTAAATTAATAAGATCAATATTGCTTCAGGCATTAGGCGCATCATTTACATGCATGCCCACGCTACTATTTCAGAAGACCAAGAGCAAATAATGCCAAATTTCGAAAAAACATAATCACAGCAAGCAAACTGTAATAATTAAAGATTTAATACCGAGCCTAGAAATATGCAGTAAGTGACGGAGAGCGCAGCTTAGCGCGAAAAAAGAGCTGAGAACAATTTATTTAATTTGAGGAATTTTTGGAATTTTTGAAAGGTTCCTTGGGTCAAATTAAAGAAACCGGCATTTGACANTACAGAGGCTCGCATTTACCAATTATTTTTCATTGCTGCACCTCACCATAAATTGTCCCAGACGTGTCAGAATTCACAATCAAGGAATGTTAGTGAGTGATCTACCGGACTGTTGATAGGCAAAAAGTGAATTTTCCTGTCAGTTCGCCTCGGCTACCATGGAAACATAATTAGAAACGCCTTTAAATTAATAAGCCGATCAATATTGTTTTAGGCATTAGGCGCATCATTTACATGCATGCCCACGCTACTATTTGAGAAGATCAAGAGCAAATAAGGCCGAATTTCCAAAAAATTAATCACAGCAAGCAAACGGTAATAATTAAAGATTTCTACCAAGCCTAGAAATATGCAAAAAGTGACGGAGAGCGCAGCTTAGCGCGAAAAAAGAGCTGAGAACAATTTATTTAATTTGAGGAATTTTTGGAATTTTTGAAAGGTTCCTTGGGTCAAATTAAAGAAACCGGCATTTGACATTTCTATTTTACCTGCTTACCTGTACTTTCCTCTTTAACACCATCTGTTTATTTTCACGAGGAGCCCATTAGTTATAACTGTACTGTGGGAATTCTCGGGCGCCTATTGGTCGAGAGCAAGACAAGATCAAGGTGCTTAATCTTAAAATCCTCTCCAATGTCGAGAGCTAATAATTATCTAATCTGTAATGCAAAAATGGGATGGCAACGTTCCGAAAACTTGAGAAACTGTAACAGCTTTCCCAGTAAACCGAAACCAGCTAGATATGAAGTGACAATTGGGACTTTTGGTGAAATTTTCGACGAAATCGTCGGTTTCAAACGGGAATAAACGAATCGTACGAGCTGTCTCGCGCGCAATTTTGTATTGATTTTCTGTCTACCTCGCCGGAGACCCCATTTTTTCCATTTTTGCCCTCAAGTCTAAGCAGTGTGACCTGCGCTGTAGTGCCCCACATTTTTTTCTATCCCGAAAATAACGACCTCTTCTAAGACAGCGGAAAGCTACAGATCAGATACAGATCTCAACGGAAAGCTAACCTTCGATAACCTGTAACGAAGATAAGGTGATTTCAATGGAGAGCGAGTAAGTGAAATTTGTAATAAGAATTTACAACGAGTGATAACAGAAAAGTAGCAACAGTTTCTCGTGATTCGGTGGACCAACATCAAACGAATGGTAGATAATAATTCCCTCCTAAGACCACTAAGTTCCCCTTCGTTTCTCTTAATTCTATACGTCACTTATGAAATAACTTGACACACGGTGCAAGCAATTGTAAATACATTATCCACAAGAAAACCAAATATTTACAGCCACTATAGGATCAGTGTTGCTTAGAACACTCTTAGTAGTTTTTCGACCATGGATATCTTCATTTGTAAAGGCAAATTCAATTAATAAGCAGAAAACAGGAGAATGCATGTCTGCATTTTCGACGACGGGGAAGAACGTTCGCGAGGTGCAGCCGTAAAAAACGACTGTGAGTTGCTTTTTAAGAGGAAACTATTTTTTCAATTTTCACGCACAAAAATATACCTCTTGTCATTTTTAGATTTAAGTGAAGAGGGATATATTGTTTTTTAAAAAACCACATACACGCAAGTCTTGATCGGAATCTTTTGAGCGAATGATCAACTTATCAAAGTACCGGGTAGATCAGAACCAATCATCAGTTAACGGATTTGCAATACACCCCAACACACCATGGTAAGATGTTTTATAAGAAAGTAAAATTCATTTAATATATTTCCAAAAATCCTATGTAGTTTTAGATAAATATTAGACACTCGCTGTTTTAATGACGTGCTTGTCAGCATCATTTGTTGTCAAGGATGCGACCATCCTTGAAGCAAAGATTGGTCTTACTGGTTGCTTAGGGATGAAAATTTTTCCTTTCGATCATCAATGTCACACACGTATAACAAACTTTGCTTTACTACAAGAGCCAGTAAAAGGGACTTTGAAGAGTCTACAGAAATACTGAGCTCATAGCCTCGGGGGCCTAAGTGTTAAAACTAATGTTAAACTAGACTCATGTGGGCTCATTATAGTTTCTCCGCCTTTCAGCTTGCAGAAGAGAGTTTTCATATCACTCATCATCTTTCATTGTCAATATACAGGAACACCGTCTATTTTTCAAACAAAGGATAAATTTCTCGCAAAAGAATATACATAGTTTAATAGGTAATCAGTGTAAACACCAAATTTTCGCCTGTGAGTCAAGCTTTTTTGCGTTCATTTTCTCAAATCTAGCCGTCTGTTTCACTCAAATGTTGTCAATCCCGGGTAGTTTATTTCGAGTTTCAAAAACAAAACAAACACAAAGAAAAAACATAAACAAACAAAAATACGATATATATTTTTCTCTATCTATATCTCAATTTTGGGTACAGAGGCCGCTATTCTAAACTTAAGATTTAATTTAAAACAAAACTTGTTAATGGAAAGGGAGAGAAAGCAAAATTGAGCTCCTTTGTGAGGCGAACTTCTGTTGGAAAACCGCAAGGGCATAAACTTACAGCTTTTCCGTCCGAGATTGTATAAGCTATTACCTTACAATGTCTAAGAAGCGAATTGTTCTCAGTAGAAATCTAAACAGTGTGACCTGCGCTGTAGTGTCCCACAATTTTTTGTATCCTGAAAATAACGACCTCTTCGAAGACAGAGAGCTGCAGATCAGATACAGATCTCACGGGAAAGCAGTAACCTTCGATAACCTGTAACCAAGCTAAGGTGATTTCAATGGAGGGCGAGTAAGTGATATTTGAAATAAGAATTTACAACGCTTACAGCTAAGATTCGGTGGACCAACATTTAACGAATGGTAGAGAATAATTCTCTCCTGAGACCACTAAGTTCTCCTTCGTTTCTCAAAATTCTATACGTTACTTATAAAATAACTTGACACACGGAAAGCCGATAAGCAATTGCACATATCAATAAGAAAACCAAATATTTACAGCCAATGATAGGATCAATGTTGTTTAGAACAATCTTAGTAGTTTTTCGATCATGGATATCTTCATTTGTAAAGAGAAATTCAATTAATAAGCAGTTAACGGGAGAACGCATGTTTGCATTTTCGATGCATGAGGAGACAGAAAGGTCGCGAGGAGAAGCCGTGTAGACCAATGCTCGTAGAAAACAACAATGAGTTGCTTCTTAACTGACCGACAATTTTCTCAATGTTTACGCACAAAACTGTATCTCGTACCTTTTAAAACATTAAATGATGAGGGATATCTGATTTTTTTTTTTTTTTTGTATAAAACACATACACGCAAGTCTTAATCGGAAAGCTTTTCGGCGAATGATCAACTTACCAAAGTACTGGGTAGATCAGAACCAATCGTATTAACGGATTTGCAATACACCCCAACATAACATGGTACATACGCATTTGTACTATTTCAAGATATTTTATAGGAAAGTAAAATTCATTTAATATCTTTCCAAAAATCTTATGCATTTAAGATAAATTTTAGACATACGTTCGCTGTTTTATAATTAATGACGTGCTTGTCAACATCATTTGTTGTCAAGGATGCGACCTACGTTTTCGTTAGAGATGAAAATTTCTCCTCTCTTCAATATCGCATAAGTATAACAAACTTCGCTTGACTATAAGAGCCAGAAAAAGGGACTATGAAGAGTCTACAAACATACTGAGCCCGTGGCCTCAGGTGGTTAAGTGCGAAAACTAATGTTAAACTAATGTTAAACATGAGTGATGAGCACACTAGTTTCAGAAGAGAGTTTTCTAATATCACCCTTCGTCTTTCAACATCAATATACAGGAACACCGTATTTTTCAAACAAAAGACACATCAGCTTGCAAAATAATATACCGGTTTATTTAGTAGGCTAGGTACTCGTGTACACCAAAAATATTTCGCCTGTGGGTCAAATGTTTTGCGTTAATTTTCCCAATCACTTAGTTGGCTGCTTCAAATGTTGTTTATCGCGTGAAATTTATTTCGAGTTATACTGAAAACAAAAATACTAAATACGATATATTTTTCGCTATCTATACCTTAATTTTGAGTACAGAGGCTGCTATTCGAAACTAAATGTTTCAAACAAAACTTGTTAATAGACACGAAGAGAACGA